CTCTCATGTCACCTTATTGTACATTGTCTTAGTCTTGGCAGCACGTGTTGGTTTGGAACGACAATAAAATTGTGAAAATCCAAAACCTTAGGGGATTGTGTGAAAATCAAATGTGCCATGTGATATCATTCCTTGGTCACTAACCCATGTGGGCGTGCTAATAGTTCTGAAAGGTTTGTTCAAAAGATAGTCCTGAAAGGTCCGTTTTAACGAGGTTTGTGACTTGGATACATGATTCATGATTTGGAATACCTACGTTATTTATCCAGCAGGACAACTTTGATCACCTACAATGACATTACAAACTAGTGGTTCAAGACTTAAGTGCCCATATTGCATCCTCTGAATTGTTTAAATCCATGCAGGAGCTACTACAAGTGCACCGCCGAGAATTGCAATGTGCGCAAGCAGATCGAGAGGGCATCCACTGACCCTAGGTGCGTCCTGACGACATACACCGGGCGGCACAACCATGACCCACCGGGCAGGGGAGCTGGAGCCGCCGTTGCCGCCGGGGCAGGCGGCGGCTCCTCCTCTGATCCCGTGCCATCCATAGTGAACCCGTCTGGCAACACATTGCACCAGCCAAGTGGCATTCATCAGCTAAAAGAGGAGAATCGGGATTAACACCTTTTTTAATGGATTTCGAGTGTGGGTTTTCCTTCGTGTGAATAATAGAGGTGCACTATCAATTCTTTGGGGCAGGTTTTTCTGCTGGCTAATTGTTGTTTATTGTGATTAATTAGACAACATTTGATTTAGAGGAATTGACCTGTCCTTTTTGGACACATATGTTGGTGGCTTTTCATGGCTTAATTTGTATTGTATGAGATATACATTTGTTTGTTCCACTGAGGTTTTGAATAAAAAATGGTTATCCTCACTGTTGCAGAAAGACAATATGCAAGTTATTCAAGCATCTATCTTTTGTTCGAATGGTTAATTTGCTCACAATGGTTCTTTGATTCTTTCTTGTCCATTTTCCTTGGATTACTACAACTGGTATAATTCAACATCCTATTCCTATGCATAGAAACTATGGACATAACAAATTATGTCTTATTAATGATTATTTCTGATGGCCGAACACACCCGAGAAATTCTCTTATAGCTACAATGATGTTGTGTTCTACTTCATTTTTGTTGCACTTGGGTAGGTGTACCAAAAATGGCTTGCTTAGTTTGCAACTATCCTACATAAGCACTATATGCACCATCATGAAGGTTTCACGTGGTAATATGTAGAATGAGCAATGTAGAATACCAGCCTTGCAAAGTTTTTGATTTGGTAATGTTCGCAGACGAACACATCACCGTGTACCCTTGACATCGGGGCTGATACACCGCAGTTCACGTCGAAGGAGACCCAACAGGAAGCGCATTACGCAAGCCATCCGGTGGGCGCTTTGTAGACCCGAAATCCCACACGCCCGGGAGGGACCCCGTCTGGACGCGCGGCGGCAAACTTGTCTGTAGTCGTGAATGCTATCATGAAAAGAAGCACATGAGGAGATAGGAAGAGAAGGCCATGGAATATTACTCGTGTTGGGTGTAAAGCAGGGCTGTCTTCAGAAATTCGTGGGCCCGGTGCGAAAAGCAAGATGGGACCTTAATTTTTTTAAACCTAATCTCACTTAACAATATAACTGAAATTTATGTTATTTATTATAAAATATTTAGGAATATGAAAAATACCAATGCAAAAGACAAATGGTATAAGTAAGCAATAAGCTAACCTTCTGTTATAAAAAAGTGTCATCGTCACCTCTCAAAAAAAAGTGTCATCGTCTTGTGTTTCTTCAAATGAAATATTCAATTGCATCTTGATAATTAATCTTCTCCAAGACATCATTTTCAAATGCTATTGTCGTCAATCCATTGAATCTTTCTTATGTAATAGTAGAACGCAAACATAATTTGAAGAATGCATGATTGTTTCTTTTTATGAACCAAACAAAAATAATATTAACCAATGCACTGGAACTCCATGAATTATAGGCTTGTCAAGAATTCAAGATAGCAGAACAGAAAAGGATCAAACCTTGAGTTATAGGCTTCTGAAGAACTCGAAATAAATGAATTAGTGGGGTAGCCAATCACTGGCGGCAGGTGCCCATTATGCCAAGCTTCTAGCCTTCTCCCTTCGGTTCAGCTGCCCATGCGCCTGCAATTCCTGTGCCTCTTTGATTCTGCCGTGATGTGTGCCGCTTGACGGCCTTGTGACCTAGCCGATCTGACTGCCAAAGTGAGGCCTCTTTTGGTTCATAGGATAGGATTATCGTAGGAATAGGAATTTTGTAGGAAATGAAATGACATGTATCTCAAATCCTATGAGTAGGAATAGGAAACGAGATGTCATTTGGTTGACATCAAAGGAATTTTTCCATTGAGGCCTCCTTTGGTTTGGAGGAATTTTATAGAAATTTTAGAGGATAGGATTCTTATAGGATTTTTTCCTTTAGAGCCCTTTGGTTCATAGGAATGGGTTCCTATTCCTACATAGGATTGGTTCCTATCCTCCACATTTCATAGGAAAATAAAAATGAGCCTAGACTCAATGGAAAAATTCCTTTGGTGTCAACCAAATGAGATCTCGTTTCCTATTCCTACTCATAGGATTTGAGATACATGTCATCTCATTTTCTACAAAATTCCTATTCCTACAATAATCCTATCCTATGAACCAAAAGAGGCCTGAGTCTAGGCTCATTTTTATTTTCCTATGAAATGTGGAGGATAGAAACCAATCCTATGTAGGAATAGGAATCTATTCCTATGAACCAAAGGGCTCTAAAGGAAAAAAATCCTATAAAAATCCTATCCTCTGGAATTCCTATGAAATTCCTCCAAACCAAAGAAGGCCTGAGAAGGATCGCAGATCGCCCAGCAACCCAAGATACGTACATACGTGCCCCGCCGTTCCGTCTTTCGATCGATCGACTTCAGAACAACGATGACATATGCGATCGGCGGAGCTGACTAGGCCCGAGAGGCCCAAAATGTGTGCTTCAGCGATCAGGCAAATGTAGGCCTAAAACCGAAAGGTGCACGTTTGAGACTGATACATGAATTTGGACACAAATTGGGGCCCCTTGATTTTTGGGGGCCCTGTGCAGGCGCACAACTCGCACAGCCCTGTCAACGGCCCTGGTGTAAAGTCAAATTGATCCTTGCAAGAGTCAAAGAAACATGGTTGTGGTTTGTGAAGGATTTCATCGATGAACACACCCATCCTTTGGCCCACGAGATCTTGCTTGTTTGTTGCGGTCACACAAAAGAATCATCGACGAGCAGAAAGCAGACATTGTAGAGATGGAAAATTCTGGAACCACAAACACAAAATAATGGATATAATGCACATGCAATACGGTGGATACAATCATGGTGGATGCACGACGAGGTACATTTATAATTTCTACTATCTTTACAAGTCGGATACAATGGTTGTCAGTGATGCTCAAACAATGATCCATCACATGATCACACGACAAGAGAGAGATCTAGATTTTTCTACTTCAAGTACTTGGTTGATTAACATGGGCATCTGAAGGGGTTGTTCAATTCTAATACTCAATCCCTACTTGAATATGAGGCTTTCGACGAATAAGTACAATCTGCCATTCATGTCATTTCTCGGGTTGAATCACCACCATGCCATTGTTATTTTTGGATGTGGTATTATTTATCATGAAACAGGCAAGGCGTACGAGTGGGTGTTGCACACCTTTTCTGCTGACATGTCCCGGAAGCATCTAGTATTTGTGATTACGGACGGGGAGCTTGCAATGCAGATAACAATCAGAGTGATTTGGCCTGATGCAAACCATAGGTTGTGTGTATGACACATTCAGCAGAACATTGTACATTATCTGCATGATGACGCGGTTAGGGAAGAATTCAGATCTTTTATATATGATTCCTCTTCCATGGAAGAGCGTGGAGAAAATGGGTTGAGTTCTTATAAAAGAAACAAGTAACCAGTGAGGAGTCATGGCATCATCAGATGTATCAGATGAAGAAGTTGTCGTGTGCTCCATATGTGGTGGGGCGCTATTTCTTAGGATTGAGCGGTAATCAACAGAGTGAGAGCCTAAACTATGTGCTACATATGCATCTTGAGGGTAAGGTTTCATTGTTTAAAGTGCTAGAACACTAAAGAGTGTTCCTTTCAGGACAATGCTTGAACGAGGCAATACTAGACATCAGTCTGTTCCATTTACAGATGCATATGCTTGAAGTCTCGTGAAACACAATGCAAAAGTTTTCATGCCTTGTATGTTTCAGTTGGTGAGATGGAGCATAAATATTGTCAACAATTGCTTTTATCAGTGAGATACTAGATGGGTGCGATTTGACTATTTATGTTGTGACTAAGAAGGATAGAAGAGAGAAGAAGTCCAAAGTGTGTTGTGAGGAAGGCGTAAGCACACCATGTTCCCACATATTGCATGTATTGGGAACATTATACAAGTAAAACGACCGCATAAGTGTTGTGTTCCACCAAGTTGACGATGAGTGCAAAGTCTGCATACCCTCCAAGCAGAAAGAGCGACATGTGTGAGTATTTGAAAAGACTGAAGAGGTACCATGAGTTGCGAAATGTGAGTCACGCGGCATGTTTCAGGGCATGTCAATCTAATGAGTTGTATCAACGTCTGAAAGTTGTTCTGAATGTACAAGCTGGCAGCAAGGAATCAACTAGCGGTCAGAAGAATGCATTAGATTTGGTCCGGTACTGCCACAAACGGCGCAACTTGATTCTGGAGATTTGGAAATGGTTCCGGATCCCGTGCATGTGCAAGCTCGAGGTGCACCAAAGAAAACGATCCAGCCAATGGCGAAGCAAAGATCGAAGGGAAATGTGGCTATTCTGAGGAGCAAGCTCACAATCAGTGTACATGCAAAAAAATTGAAAGAGGTAGCAAATATGTTCAATTTTTATTTTTCCATGTGCTTTACTTATTAATACAATACATGACATTAATTATATTTTTCGTGTGCAGGAAATCATGCCAGAACCAATTATCTCTATCACACAGCTGCTGAATACTCACGGTAAGCTGGATGGTGTTCTTCAATAATTACATTAATACTTATGAAAATTTTGAAAGACTACCGGAAACTATATTAGATAAAATGCACCAAATATTACAGGAAATCATGGATTGCTTATCACTTTATTAGCTTGACAATCTATTAGATGGCATGTGTTTGTGTCAATTCATCTATTATTGCCGAGTTGGATTCCATTAAGCTAATGTAGCTCATTGGAAGCTTTAGCCATGAGGAATGGACTACATCTTGCAAATTCTATTGGAACTAATAAGGTGCAGGCGGAATCCGATTCGGTTGAGTCATAATTTTTTGTAAAGGCCAAATACAATGGTGGGACTCGGCAGCAGCGATATATGCAAATTGTGTAGATACGTCAATTCAAATTGGAACCGTTGATTTCAAACATTGTCCCAGAGATGCCAATGGTGTGGCCCATGCTTTAGTTTTCATAATAATCTTTCTTGTGTTTGGGGTGATGAACCCCCTAGTTGCTTAGTTGTATTTCTTGCAAACGATGCAAGTGTTTCTTAATTTAATAAAGCTAGTTATAATGGGTTTTTTCTATAAAAAAA